TTATCATAAGGGTAAAAGAAGAAAGTGCTAAATTTGGTTTGAAGCTAAATGTAAAGAAAACTAAAGTAATGTCAACTAAAGAGTTAAAAGATTTCATTGTGGATGGTGAAAGAATTGAAGTGGTAGAAAGTTACATACTTTTGGGCTCAAAGATAGAAAGGAATGGAAGTTGTGAAGGAGAAATCAGGAGGAGAATTAATCTTGGCAGAACAGCCATGGCAAATCTCACCAAGATAATGAAAGATAAAGACATTTCCATTCATACTAAGAAAATAATTGTAGAAGCAATGGTTTTTCCTGTAACATTATATGGCTGTGAAAGCTGGACTCTAAGGAAAAAGGAAAGAAAAATGATAGATGCATTCGAATTATGGGTATGGAGAAGATTACTTAGAGTTCCATGGACAGAAAAGAAAACAAATATCTCAATTTTAGAAAAAATTAAGCCAAGCTTCTCCTTACAGTCAAGAATTTTAAAACAAAAATTGACCTATTTTGGACATGTGATGCGTAAAGAAGTTTCCCTAGAGAAGACTATTATGCTGGGAAAAGTGGAAGGTAGAAGGAAGAGGGGAAGGCAACGGATAAGATGGATAGAAAAAATAGAAAAAGTCACAGAAATGAAGCTGGAGGAGCTACGAGAAACAACAAGGGAAAGATCAAGATGGAGAAGACTCCATGAAGTCACCAGGAGTCGACGACGACTCGATGGAACTTAACAACAAATCGTAAATGCATTAGGACAGATTTTTATTCAAGAATAGAAATAGTCTAATATTATGGCTTTAGTTCAACTAGATTATATGTCTCAAATGATCCCCATTTTAAGCAAGGCCTAACCCACAATGATAACTGACTAGGTAGTCAGTTTGGATAATTAGACAGGGAAATGGGGTTTTGGCTCCCTAAAATGTGAAATGCTCCAAGAAAGTTTCCAAATAATAAAACCAAAGTGAAATTCTTAGGGACCAGTTCAAAAGAATTAGAATACTAGAACCAATTACACAATGATGGTGACGAACAGAACTCTTATTTTCATTTTTATCTTTTTCTGCTTTGTGGAAAATTGAGTATGATCCAGCTCATCTCCACACTGGAATGAAATTAATTGTTTGATAATATATTTTGAAATGTTAATACTTTTTTAAAATCCATTTTGCCCTGTGGATACTAAGAACGCCTTTTTTAACAAGACCATTATAAGTTTTGCCAGGCCCACAAGGGAACTGCCAGTTGGTGAGAGACAGGCCCCTTGAAAAATTACCCCAACATATACGGACGGACCATCCCTGAAAAATTCTTGGTGTTTTATGATATGTCCGGATTCGATTCCGAATTCCTTAGAGTGGCTGTTGCCATCTTAACTGTTCAGCCATCCAGCCGTCAAATTATCAATATCATCATGTCATTCTTTATCAATCTTATTATCAATATCTTGTTCTTTAGGTTTCAAGCCTCCGGCGAAGACAATGTTAGATCGTGTTTTTCGTTCAGATACAAATTATATTTATATTATTTCTGTAAGACATCGTATTTGACAATCGTCATTCAATTTGCTTTATATGCTTTATATACTAGGCTCAATAAAACTATTGTGTGATTTAAATCGTAACTAAGCAGTAAAATTTGATTAACATTAACAATCAATAATATCAATTTTTTAAATTTAAAAAATATACGATGTATCTAATTTAAATGTATTTGAAATCGAATGAAATTCTAACTCGAGTATTAAATATAAATATCCATGTTTAAATCTCTTTGTCAGCTCGTAAATTAATTTTTATCTTATATCCGATACCATCAGAAAAACGTGCGATGACTCAGAATGAAATATTCTTGAACAAAAATCAGATCCAAGATAGAGATTTGAGTCGAATGCGATTTGTAATGATAACGCCCATCCCGCTTTATTATCAACCCATTTGTACTTAGTGACACCATAGGGCACACCTGTTGACTCATCCGCTATTACCTGCCAGATACTCCCAAACAGGCGTCTGTTAAAATAGAAATTAATGAGTCTCTGCCTATTTAAGCAACTAAATATAATTGCTAGATAAATCAAGCAAATTTATTTTGGTGATTTATTGATAAATATGATAACAGGCCGATTAAGTGCAATCTCCATTTTTGATTAATTAGTTCTCCTTTAGCTTCTTAAATCAAATTTATTGAGTAAATAATTTTCTACCTGTCATTCAGCGCGGATAAGCTTATATTTTATAAGATTTTATACATTCATTTTGCATCCTAGACGAAATTTTGTCTATTTATTAGTAAAAGAAATTCATTTCCGATATCCAAATAGATAATAAAAATAATAAAATTGTTTGTGTATTGATAAATTTCACCTATGTTAGTAATTATAAAAACCGATTTAATACACAATATTTATTTTATTGATTTTAAAAAGCTGAAGATTTATATTGAGATTATTGATTTAACATATATTCAAACTGTATATTAAAAAAATATTTTTCATACTTTCGTTGTTACAAAATCTAATTTAACGGGGAAAACATTAAAAAAAATTAATTAATTGCACGAATATACGACTGACTATATTACAATTAATCAATTAATCAATCAAATTAATACATAACTGTTTTATTTAAGTTTTATATACGAATATATATAAGTTATTTTATATTATTTAAGTTTAAAAAGCTCATAAATCATGTTAAATTTTTTGTTTAATTAGCTGATCATATATTGCAATGATAAACAAACCCAATCTTACTTGATTTGCATTCGAATTAAGTAGAATAAATTTTAAAGATCAAAAGTAATNATATATTTAAAATGTAATACTACCATTAAAATATTTCGATTCCATTTTTATTTTCTCTGTAAAAGATAAATGCAATACTGATCGTAATTAGAAGAAACTAGAGGAGAAATTAAATTATTGAAGATACAGTATTTTTAATTTTTAATGGTATTTTGATCTCTTCCAGATGATTTTCAGTTATCAAAACTTTCATTTATTCCTTATTATTATATTTATTTTTAAGTTTGAATTTATGTAATTTATTTGTAAACATTTACTTAATATAATTTAATCTATTGTTACGTTATTAAATATAAATATCCATGTTTAAATCTCTTTGTCAGCTCGTAAATTAATTTTTATCTTATATCCGATACCATCAGAAAAACGTGCGATGACTCAGAATGAAATATTCTTGAACAAAAATCAGATCCAAGATAGAGATTTGAGTCGAATGCGATTTGTNTATTAAATATAAATATCCATGTTTAAATCTCTTTGTCAGCTCGTAAATTAATTTTTATCTTATATCCGATACCATCAGAAAAACGTGCGATGACTCAGAATGAAATATTCTTGAACAAAAATCAGATCCAAGATAGAGATTTGAGTCGAATGCGATTTGTAATGATAACGCCCATCCCGCTTTATTATCAACCCATTTGTACTTAGTGACACCATAGGGCACACCTGTTGACTCATCCGCTATTACCTGCCAGATACTCCCAAACAGGCGTCTGTTAAAATAGAAATTAATGAGTCTCTGCCTATTTAAGCAACTAAATATAATTGCTAGATAAATCAAGCAAATTTATTTTGGTGATTTATTGATAAATATGATAACAGGCCGATTAAGTGCAATCTCCATTTTTGATTAATTAGTTCTCCTTTAGCTTCTTAAATCAAATTTATTGAGTAAATAATTTTCTACCTGTCATTCAGCGCGGATAAGCTTATATTTTATAAGATTTTATACATTCATTTTGCATCCTAGACGAAATTTTGTCTATTTATTAGTAAAAGAAATTCATTTCCGATATCCAAATAGATAATAAAAATAATAAAATTGTTTGTGTATTGATAAATTTCACCTATGTTAGTAATTATAAAAACCGATTTAATACACAATATTTATTTTATTGATTTTAAAAAGCTGAAGATTTATATTGAGATTATTGATTTAACATATATTCAAACTGTATATTAAAAAAATATTTTTCATACTTTCGTTGTTACAAAATCTAATTTAACGGGGAAAACATTAAAAAAAATTAATTAATTGCACGAATATACGACTGACTATATTACAATTAATCAATTAATCAATCAAATTAATACATAACTGTTTTATTTAAGTTTTATATACGAATATATATAAGTTATTTTATATTATTTAAGTTTAAAAAGCTCATAAATCATGTTAAATTTTTTGTTTAATTAGCTGATCATATATTGCAATGATAAACAAACCCAATCTTACTTGATTTGCATTCGAATTAAGTAGAATAAATTTTAAAGATCAAAAGTAATCAATCTAATCATTGGTAAAAGTTTCTATTAATTAATCGAATAATTTTCATTCAAAAGGATTGACAAGTGTTTAATTATCGTAGTTGATTAATGAAGTAAGCATCTTTGTGGTACTAATCTCTTTCGTAAAGAACTCATGACTTTTTTAACTATCTAACTTAAATTGAGATGCTCGGAGAGTCATCGCTCATCTCTAAAATGAAGCTAATTAAAGTTAATCATCTTTTATGAACGGGTTTCCTTCTATTTTCTACTTTAAAGACCACTAAAAATGGTTTTATCATCTTGTGGTTTTATAATGTAATGTAGAAACGTGGATATCCCCTGATGTAACATCATCGAATCGGCAGATCCGTGAGAAAGTGGAAGAGCAACGTCGAGATCGGCATATCTTAGCACAGTTCCACATGCAACACATGGTCTGAGGAACCAAGTAACTTGACACCAAGGGTGCATAGAGCGGAGGCGGAGACGAACGCCTGCCATCTGCCATTCTGTAATGAAAATTAGATTTAATTTTCTCTATCTGGGGCGTCGTCACTCAGAAAACGTGAGAAAACGAAACGACGGTAGAAAAAAAAGAAGGAAATCGTAACGACATGTATCATACATGGAGCTGTCAACTGCTGCCTTTTCATCTCATGACTGCAACTACTAATTTAAATGGTTTTTTATCCATTAAATTAACTAAATAATTTCATTCGGAGTTCTCTTACGCTATAAAATAATCTATTTTAAAAACATTTTATAGTAGATATATTTATAATTTGTATTTATAAGAGTTCTTTAAATCTTTTCTTGTTGAGCTAATATAATATTATTATTTTAAAAGATAAAAGATAAGATTTAAGTCTGTTATTTTAGTCATTTAATCAAAATTACCTTGGCATGATAACAGTAAGAAATATTTGATTCGATGTATGATTTTATTACGACGGTAAAATTAGTTGAGAGGATTAAAGATAAATCGTTGTAGAATATTAAAAAAAAATAAATTGTACTCGAATTCAAATCATAAATTCTAATAGATAATCTGTCTGTGCATTGCATCATTAGATCTGTATATTTCTTTTAATGTTTGCTATCTTCGTCTCTTAATTTTTTCTACTTCCTAATCTATTTCTAGATAAAATTGATAGGTTGACTTTCAATCATTGGTAAATGGGTTAGGCTGTGCTGTTATTATCCTTGTTTTCTACGGTAATTAATAAAATTGATTTTAATTTCTAATTTCAGTTTAAATGTTGCCAAATCAATAACCCTTAGGCTCCTCTATAAATTAATGTGAACTCTTTACGTGTATCAATTTATAAATACTTTAATATGAGTTATAGTTAGCCTTCTTCATTCGAAAAATTTCATTTCTTTCAGCTTTCGAATATGTTATTAATTTTTTTTTATAATTAAATTGTTTTT